AATGATACACAGAGAAGAATGAGTGCTTAATATATTTATTCAGTACCAGTATCCGGTGCTAAAGTATACATACAAAAAACAGAACAATAAGTTACAAAGCAATTAACAAGACAAATTGCAAGTAAAAAGAGGAGGGTCAAATACTGTATAGCCAAACGAAGTAAAATCAGCTCAAATATTAGTCAACTTAGTATCAACTTATTAATCAACTGCTGAAGTACTTAAACATAGACTAAGGTTATGAGCTAGGCTACAGTGTTGAAGGGGTACTAGCTACTCTACAACAATTAGTAACAAAGAAATGTGTATTGAACTGTTATGTAATATCAGTCCTCCTATATGCCAGTGACAATATCTTCAGAGATGGAGAAGAGACTTGAAGCAAGAGAAATGTGGTTCCACAGAAAAATGCTGAGAATAACTTGGACTGAACATGTGAACAATGACAAACATATAGAAACTTTAGGAACAAAAAAGAAATTTATGCTTAGCATCAGGAAGGGGTGTTTTCAGTTTCTGGGGCACATAATGAGGAAGGAAGGCTTGGAAAATTTGATACTCATAGAAAGTAAGAAATACAGAGGAAAGCAATACACAACTTACCTGGTGAGCTTAAGTGAATGGATGACAGAGCAGGGTTTAAGAGATTGCAGAATGTCAAAAGGAAATTGTAGATTGCCGTAGGCAATCTGGGATTGCAAAGGAAATGTTTGTCGCAGATTATTTCCACATCACAAAAAATAAATCACTAAGTTCAAACTCGAACATCGGGGACAAAATGTCGAAAACGCAATTCACAAGCACTATTTCACAAATCCCAATGCACGCCACCAGTCAGAAAAATAACTTACTCTCCAATAGCCGTAGCAGCCAAAAAACTTTTTCCTTTTCCTCCCAATTCGAGAACACCAACTGCTTTTATTGGCCAAACATTTTTTTTCCATTCGTCGACAGCTGGGAGAGGATGTTCAATAATTTGCATATCAAAATACTTTTATAGAGATTCCTGCAACGGACTTGTTTATTAATTCAAATATTCCATCTTCGGCATGTCATGCGGAATACGTGCCCTTTTGTTTGGTAAGTAATTTTCTTTTTCGCCACATTTTCCATCATAGAATACATGCGATGCGCTGTCGCTTGGTGTAATGAGGTAAGTCGCCATTTTCTTCACTATAATTGCCATGATCATCAACACTTTGAAGAGACACAACACATAGAAGAACAAGAATGATGAATATGGTGTGTGATATAAATGGAAGAGAAAATAGTAGTGCAGATTATGAGGATAAGGAGGATAGATAATAACAACTGAGAAATTTTAAAAGTATTGGTACTCAAGTTCATCCTAGTCCACAAGTGGAACTCATATATACGATCCATCACTAAAGATGCAGGAGAAATGCTGCCTTATTTTGCTATGCTTTATGTTTATAAGACCAGACCAAAAATGGAGTATTGATACCATATCTGGACTGGAGCTTTCCATTTGACACATTCTAGCATTCAAAAGCATCTGTGCATCCTTGTGGGTGATGAATTATTCTCCTCTGTATAATTCTTTCCTCACAGATGAGATATTGCTAGCCTCTCACTGCTCTACTACTATTTCCATGGGAAATGTTTTGACAAGCTGTATTCCTTCTTTCTATGTGCTGTGTCCTTTCAGGAGGTAGGCGGTCATGGCTCCCCACCTCCCTCTATAACTTGCAGCTTTCAACAAGTTCCTTCTCTCTGCCACCTCCTCCAGACCATGTTCTGTCATCCACTTGCTTAAGGCTGCTAGGTATGTCATGCATTATTTTCCCTTGTCTCTCTTTCCCTCTATTTGTCCAATGAGTATCAGATTATCCAGGCCCTCCTTTTTCATTATGTGAAACAGGAACTTCAGCTACCTCTTACTGATGTTTCTTATAAGCCTCCACCTTTTTTGCATCCTCTTTAAGACCTCATCATTGCTCACATGCTTGGTCCATGATATCCTCAGTATCCTCCTGTAGAACCACATCTCCATCACCTCAAGTCTCTTCTTCATCTTTGAGGAAATTGTCCAGCATAAAGAACAGCTCAGTATTCTTTTCTTCGTTACCAAAGAAATCTCCCTGTCTTGCAATAGTCTGTTTTGGAATGCATTCTTAGCAATCCCAATACATCTATGGATCTCAGTGTTGCATTTACCATCCTCTATCAGAAGACTTCCCACATATTTAAGCTTCTGCATCTGCTTCATTCTAGTTTTCCTGAACTGCAAATCGCATTTCGTGCTCATCCTTAGTTTGAGCAATGAGATCTTTAGAGTAAATTCCTGTCATACTTTGTACACTGGGACAAACCATTCCAGTTCTTCTTCAGGTTCCATTAGTAAGAAGAAAGTTCCATTTGAACAGCACCTTCCTAAGAGCTACTACTTTGTGGAAGAGACTCCCACTTCCTTGATTTCTAAAATCTTAAACTCTTCAATTAGGGTCAGCCATTATCTTCTGACATATCCTCCTAATCTGCACTTCTTACATACTTCTACAGACTGATACAATTGAAATTGTTGGCGATCATAGCTCTCCACAATTTCCACAGAAATATCAACTATCTCTGTTCTTTTTGTTCTCATTGTCTCTAGAACTTGCTCCCATGTTTAGTCAATGATATCCTCAGTATCCTTCTGTAGAACTACATTTCTCTTGCTTCAAGTTTTTTCTTAATCTTTGAGGATATTGTCCAGTATTCACTGCCACAGAGAAGGACTGATACTATGTAACAGTTCAGTACTCTTTTCTTTGTTTCTGTTGCTTCAAGTCTCTTCTTCATCTTTGTTTCTAATGATATTTTTCTGTTTCTTATACCATGTTCTTAAATATCCTTGTGAGATCAAGATCTTCATATGGATCTTATGCATGACCCAAACTCGTTCTGAAATACCTAAACTGTCAGCTATATACAACCATTTTCTCAAATCAATAATTAAAGATGGCTTCCAGTGAATGAAGCTTGTCAGTCTTAGAGAGGACAATCCTTTTTCGTACCTCTTGGACTAGCACTGCAGAATCACAAGGAAGAGAAACCACATCACTTGAGAACTTTTATCAGAAGCAATAACTAAAATGGATAGCACATGCAACTCAAAGAGAATATAATGGCAATATTGGATGAGATTTGATCAAATAAACTGATACAACTGAAATTGTATGTCTCATATGATGTGATGGCATCAGAATGTTTCTGAACAAAGCCATTTATCACCATTTTATTAGATAACTTCATCAGGTTGACACTTTCATATAAATGCCCTGCATGGTGATAAACTCATTCAGAATTATCTAGACTATCAGCTGCACTTTCTCAAATTAATTATTAGGAATGACTTCTAGAGAATATGAAGCCTGTAGGTTTTGGCAAGGACCATCCTATTACAAACCTTGTTGACTAGCATTACATAATCACAAACAACAAACTGTTACCAAATAACAGAAACCATATCACTTGAGGACTTTCAACAACAGCAACAACTAAAATGGATAGCACATCTGACTTGAAGAGAAAATAATCAAGAGGTTGACATTCCACATGACTTCAGACAAAAGGTCAGTAAGTAAACCCCCATCAATACTACAAACAGTAATAAGTTATTGGACATGAGATACCTATTTTACTTAAAAATATTTTAACAGAAAATTTTATAAATTTAAACTGATAGTAGTACAGTAGAATTGGCTGCTAAGTCAATGACTACTGAATTTTTTTCTCATAAGGAAACAGCTAATATTAGCGTTACCAATCATCTTTGTACGAATCTAATTCTAAAATCGATTGTAAATGTTTGTCCCCACATTTCTTAGGTGTAGGTAATCATGGTTCTCCACTTCTTCCTATCCCTTGTAGCTCTCAATAAGTCTTGCTTTTTGTTATTTCGCCCAGACTCTGTTCTGCCATCAACTTGCTTAAGCTAGTTAAATATGTCACACATTGCTTTCCCTTGTCCCTCTTTCTCTCTATTTACCTTGTGTGTAGCAGATTTTCCAAGCCCTCCTTTCTCATTACGTGTCACAGAAATTTCAGCTACCTCTTCCTGATGTTAAGTATAAGTTTCCTCTTTGTTTGGATCCTCTCCAAAACCTCATCATTGCTCACTTCTGTAGAACCACACCTTTGTTGAGTCTCTCTTCATCTTTAAGGAGACTGTCCAACATTCAGTGCCATAAAGGAGGATAGATATCACATAGCAGTTCAGTTCTTTGTTACCAACAAAATCCTCCCTTATTGTAATACTCTGCTTACCTTTAGGGATGAAGAGAACAGATACTACACTTTGATCCCAGTCCAATATTCAGGGAGTGAAGAAAGGTGTAAAATCGAGTATCACTGGCTTCTTGATAAGTGAATGCCAGTTGTTTACTGGAAATGGTTAGTATATACCAATACCATTACTCCAGAATTTATATTCTACCATTTTTTGTTGGGTTGTGAGTTCATTCCAGGAACTAAACAGGTTGTAAATCATTTTTATTTTTCTCTGACACATCTACTTTTTATTAGTTTCCTCCCTTTCTAGTTTACTGTTTTCAGAATTTGTTTCATTTTCTTTTAAATATATTTTTTGTTATTTTATTTCCAGAAGTTTTCTCTTTAGTCGTTCTGAAATTAACCGCCTTGCTTCCATTTTGAAATCTTTTTTTTGTTTTCCTTTTCCCTCCATCACTTTCTTCATCCTTCTTCTTTTTTCCATCCTTTTTTCTCTCTTGCCTGCTTTTCTCGTTTTCATTTATATATTTATGCTTTCTCTAATCAATACTCTCCTTTTCTTTATTTCTTTATTTTATGATGGGAATCAATAAGTCTGTATCCTGAAACAGTTATTAGCTGAATTTCAATCTAAATTTTTTTATCTAAGGTTTGATATTTGTGATTAATATTTCCTACTGAATTAAGTGCACTGTCAAGAAAGACAATATTGTCAAATGACATATACTTTTTTGTAAAGTTATTGATGCACCTAAGTAAATCACATGTTCAACTTTCATTTCTTTCTTTCTTCCCTAATTCTTCACTATTTCTCTTTCCGCTGCTTTTTTCTTCCTTCTATCTCCTTTTTATCCCTCTCTCTTTCTCCTTTCTCACATCTTTCCTTGCCTCTCTTTTTCCTTTCCCTCATTTTTATATCAATCTTTCCTCCTGTTGCATACTCCCCTTTGTCTGGGGAGTATGCAACAGTATGCTGACGGGTTGATTCCATAATGATAACGCTGCCTTTTCTCTTTCACAGCCGGTGATCGCTAGTTGTTTTGTTTGGAGGTAAAATGAAAGAATTTCAACAATAGGGATTTTAACATAACTATTATTTTATTCACCGCGTCAACATTTAACTAGCCGAGGGTGTTACTATCCAAACACTAGTGGGGAGCAGTTTCCAAGACATGATAATGTATGTCTACATTGTTCAACTTGTAATACTTAACTACCTGAAATCCCTTTCTATATCCGTCATTCCCATACTAGTTTTAACCAAACAACTTCCTTTGTTTTCCTGTGTCTGACCTCAAGGGTCAAAATGAGGAAGTCAGAGGAGAAATATAAATCTCTAAAAATAATAGTCTGCTAAACTATTATTTAGCACTCCTTCTTGCTTTTACTATTTTCTGCTGCCTTCTTGTCTCATCTCTAATTCCAGTTCTGTCATGTTTTCTTTTCTTCCTCTTATCTCTCTCTCTTTTCTCCCCCTCTTTTCCTCTCATTTCTATCACTCCACTTCTCTCCTCTTTCCTCTCTTTTTCATCTTTTTATTCTCTTCTCTTACTCCTTCTTTCTTTGCTGTTTTCCCCACTCTCTCTGTAATCCTTTTCCTGTCTCTTTTTCTTTTCTTCTTTCAATCTGATTTTCATCTTACTCTTTTTTTTCTCTTCCCTTTTCCTTTCCTTCATATCTCTCATTTATATAAGTTCCCTTCTTTCTCCTCCTGTTTAATATCTTTCTTTGATGTTTTCTCCCTCTCTAATTCTGTTTCTGCCATTTTTCATTATCTTCCTTACATACACATTCTATCTCTCTGTCTTCCTCTCCTCCATTCTCTTTCTTTTCATCCTTCATTTCCTCTATTTTTCATTTCTCTCATATTTATATATTTTCCCTCCTCCTTACTATCTTCTAATGCTTCCTCCTTTCTCTCTAATTGTGTTTCTCCCTTCTTTCTTCCACTTCCTTTTCCTCTCTCTCTCTCTCTTTTTCCTTGCCTCTTCCACTTTACTTTCTTCTTTTTAATTTCATTCATTTTTTATATGTCCCTCTTCTCCTACCCTGCTGCTTTCTTCTGTTTCCTTTCCTTTCGGTTTTTCTTTCTTTATTCCATCTCCTTTTCATCTCACTTTTTTCCCACACCTCTTCTTTCATTTCTTTTCTTTTTTATTTTCCCTTCTCCTCCTCACTATATTCCTCTGCTTTTTCTCTTTTTATTTCTCTGTACTTTTTCTCACTATCTCTAATTCTGTTTTTATTCTTTTCTCCCCTAATCCTGTGTTAACATTTGATGCAGCACATTCAATCTCAAGCACTTCATCTAAGGTTTCTTGCAATTTCCTCCATGTTGAATTATTGCAAACATCAAACAATGTCTTGCCTCATAGCTTCATTTCTTTACTGAAGTATGTGTTTATGTGGACATATTTGAAATTCAACACAAGTATGTTTATGTAAACAAATCTATATGTGGAGATTGCTGTATATTTGGATGCAGGTGTCAATATTGAATGTACAAGTGTGTTTACAACTGTAGAGGTTTGTCTATACATTATTGTATTTGTGCAAAAGAAAGTATATATATAATTTTAAATGTTTGTACATGCGTGTTTAAATCTATGAGAACATGAACAAATATATCAGCATACACTGGTCTAACTTGAGTGTTGATCCCAATTCTCCAAAAACTATGGCAATCTTGCACTGCACAAGGAGGCTTTTATGACAGGAAATATATACATACATACTAATGGCATTACCATGGGTTCACCTATCACCCCAACACTATCAGAATTTATGTGAATAAAAAAAAAAAGATGTTAAAAAATGCTTGAAAATACCAACAATATTGATGATATTTGAACAAACAAGAACAAAGTAAAAAATCTGATAACACCCTTAAAAATAACTCTGTCCTTAATTTCACACCTGAACTAAACAAGTTTTGAGTTTTAGTTAATAAAAGTTTACAGGTAGATTGTTATATTTATTGACAATATTTTATGTTTACAATTCATAATGGCTGCCCTTTGCATTTACCATAGGGCTTAATCTCTTCTCAACAAGTGCATGACTTCTACAACATTTCTTAGCTCAAATTGTACCAGAACATCATATGAGCTTCTTTCAGCTCTGACATACTTGAGTACAAGATACATGAAACATTGCTATCCAATATGGACCATGTCACAATATCCACAGGATTAATATCAAGGCTTAATGAAGACCAAATTGACATGTTTCATGCACCAGTTCTATATCAATGCAATGTGGCTG